GCTTTAAAAAAAAAAGCGTAAAAAATAAAACATCCTTGAGGACAATTCAAAGGTCACCTGGGACAAAACCCTCCAGGGAAATCTCAGAATGGGGGAAATTGGAGATGCCCCCCTTTCAGAGTCAGGCATAGATACAGTTCTCAAGTACAAGCAAGGCACAATAGTTCTGAGTATCGTGGCCCCCAAAGAAATGTCTGACGTTAAGCCCAGGGCTAGTTCATCTCAAGACCTTTCCCTCTGTAGGTTTTTCTAGATCATCGGTGAGGAAGAACGATTCCAACCTTGCATTTTTTTTATTTAGAACTTTATTTTTGAGAGAGACAGCACACGAGGGAGGGAGGGAGAGAGAATCCTAAGCAGGCTCCACAACTGTCAATGCAGAGCCCAACACGGGCCCCATGAACCGTGAGATCAAGACCTGAGCTGGACCCAAGAGTCAGATGCTCAATGAACTGGGCCACCCAGGTACCCCGTCCAACCTGATTTCTAAGACCCTACTTCACACTGCCTTGGGCTTGCCCTACAGGATTAACACAGCGGGCCTGAGACCACCATCTTTGAAAGGCTATTGGACAGATTTGGTCCTTGACTGGCACGCGGGCTCTCAGAGCATTTCTAGCCAACAGTTAACCGGTAAGGGTGGCTCAGTGTATCTGGACTGTTGGGGCAAACAATGTGGCTTATGCTATTAAATGAATGCCAGTTTTCTCTCCGGGGGTCTGGGATCTCCATACGAGCCAGGCAGAGAGAGCCTGTGTGACCGGTGCCCAGTCAAAACCTTGGGTGCTGTGTCTCTAGCGGCCTTCCCTGGGCAGAAACTTTGCACATGGGCTACCACATTTTCCACGCTGGGGAAAGTGTGAGCTCTGAGTGACCCCTCAGGGTGAAAGAGGAAGTCAACCACCTCCACCCTGACTTCAGGCGTACTTTCTAATTAAGATCTCCTTTCTAGTGTATCCTCCTACTCAGGCAAAAGGTCCTGCAGGCAAAGCATCCCAGGTGGAAACAGAAAACTAGCCCCTCAAGCATGAGGACGGCCCTAAGCCAGCAAGACCCCATGTGATTAGCCGCAATGATCAACCTGACCTTCGCTGCCAACCTGCACGTAGCCACTGACCTCTGTTGCACATTTTCCTTATACAAACCTGGAAGAGTTTTCAGCACTTTGGAGACACTGTCTTAAGAGATGCTATCTTCCTGCGGTGCTGGCCTCACTGAAATAAATTCCTTGTGTCCCCACAACTCATTTCTCTGGCTCTGGATTTTGTCAGCAGCAAGTGACCAAGCCTGGTCTGTTTGGGACCCCCAGAGCTCCAGCTACAAGGGGAGGGAAAGCAGAAGGAAGCCTGTGCCTGGATTCCTCCAGACTCTGCCTGGGGCTTTGTCCCAGGGGCACACCACCATGATAAACCTTAGCCATGGGATGCTGAGAAGCTAAATCCCATGATTCTTTCTAGTAAATCTTCCAACTTAGGGGTGGTCCTGGGGTTCCGTGAAACACACTCAGGTAGCTCCCCCTAGTTTTTTATTATTTTTTAAAAGGGGCGCCTGGGTGGCTCAGTCGGTTAAGCATCCGACTTTGGCTTGGATCATGATCTTGCGGTTCATGGGTTCGAGCAACGCGTCAGGCTCCGTGCTGATAGCTCGGAGCCTGGAGCCTGCTTCCGATTCTGTGTCTCCCTCTCTCTCTCTGTCCCTCCCCTGTTTGTGCTCTGTCTCTCTCTCAAAAATAATCTCTATCAAAAATAATCTCTCTCTCAAAAATAAATACACGTGAAAAATTTTATTTATTTTGAGAGAGAAAGAGCAGGGAAGAGAAAATCCCCACCATTCGTGGGGCTCAGATTCACAAACCATGAGATCACGACCCGAGCCAAAATCAAGAATCTACAGATTACTAGAGGTCAGGCTATTGATGGGATTGCCTTTTTCTGGGAAATTGGTGGAGACTCTTACCGGTTTAACCCTTTCTCTGTCCTTTCCTTTGTCCTTGGGCAGCCAGAAGTGCCCGAGGAATATTTTGCCCTCAGGCTGCCTCATCAAGTAGCATTAAGTACATTCATGTTGTGCAATCAGCAGTGTCCATCCACAGGACTCTTTATCTTCCCCAAGTGACACTCTACACCCGTTGTCAAAAAGCAAAATTCTCGACCGAGTACATTTGAAGATCTACTTGGCTTTATCAAGAGATTCACAAACCGGGCAGGATCCCGTCCAGCAAGCGGAGGATTGTACAAGAAGAAAAGGTTTTTGTGGGAGGGAGGGTGGGACAAGAAAGGTGTTAGCAAAAGAAAAGGATTGTTTCAGGGAGGATCACCTTCTTTAGCTGGAAGGGCCAGCCAAGCCGTCTTACCCTATCTCCCTTCCGGGGTTTGGAAGAGGCCCACGTGACAGATGACCTCACTGATGCTGATCAGAAAATTCCTTACTGACGGCTAAGGCAGCACTTGTGGGGAAGGGGGCTATTCCTTCACCCGCCCGGGCCCTGGCAACAACGCTTCGATTTTCGGTCTCTGTGAATTTGACTGTTGTAGGTATTTCCCGTACGTGACATTGCACGGTATTTGTCCTTGGGTGACACACACATTTCACCGAACATTCTGTTCTCCAGGCTCGTCCGTGCTGTAGGGGCCGATACTGCTCACCCTCTAATATCTGAATAATACCCCACCACGTGGGCACATCAGTTTTGTTTATTCGCTTATCTGTCGCTGGACGCGTGGGGTGTTTCCACCTCTTGGCCACTGTAAATAATGCTGCTGTGAACATCGTACAAGTGTCTCTTCAAGTTCCTAGTTCCTGCTTTCAGTGGTTTGGGGTACGTACCCAGGAACAGAATTGCTGGGTCATATGGGAATTCTAGTTTTAGTTTCTTCTGGAATCACTAGTCCGCAGAGGCTGCACCGGTTTATATTCCCACCAAAGGTTCTCAAGCATCTGGGTGGGGGACAACTCTGAGGAGGGAGGAGGAGGGGGAGTTCTTCATCCTAAGGGCGAAGACATCTGTGATTCAAGAAAGGTCGCTCAAGGTCTGACCCAATCTCAATATACACCGTACGAAATGTTCGATAAAACACCAGCACATCCAAATTTACGCGCACACACCCCACCAGGAGAAACCGAGCTAAGATTTTTTCTGCCCACAGATATGAAGATAAAGTTATTTAACAGACTACATGGGACACGTATAAAAGTTAAATTCTTTATTTCATTCACATTTCCTTTTTAGCTCAAATAGTGAAAAAAATTTAAAAGAGGAGCTTCATGTTACCCATCGTCTAGAGAGACCACCAAGATCGACACTATGTATAAACATAAAAAAAAAAAAAAAGAAGAAACTGAGTAAAAGCCAGACCCCCCAGGAAACTGAATGTGAGGACAGAATTTCAAGCAGGTACCACCACACAGATCCATGGGACCCAGCCCGGAAGTCACGTTCCTGGCCAGGCACCTCCGTCCATTTCATTTCCTTCTTGAGTTCCCAGGAATCCTCCTAGTGGGGATGAGACATAACGGCTTTCTTGGATGAGGGCAGTCTGCGTCGCTCACAGAAGCTACTTAACCTCCGCCAGCCTCATCGTGCAGACCCGTTAGGAACAAATGGGGCAAGGGATGTGGGAACGTAGGGCCCAGTGTGAGCTTAACTGTAAGAGTCTAAGCCGGGTGCGATAAGCAGCCTTGGACGATGGCGATGGTCCCGGGGGGTCCCTGACTCGTGGTACTCCCTCCCTGAGTAATACTCCCCTCCAGAGCTGGTGACTTGTGGCTAACAAAGAGAGCAGAAGGGGCGGAACTGTCTCTTTAGAGATGCAGTTACAAAAGACTGACTTCTGTCTCGCTAGCATTCCCTGGCTTTTCTCGTTTGCTTTCTTTGATGAAGACAGCGCCCTAACGAGGAACAAGAGGGGTGGCCTTCGACCAAGAGCCAGTGAGAAATGAAGACCCTTATCCAGCGGCCTGCGAGGCGCGGACTCTTGCCAACAACTGCAACAGTGAGCTGAGAAGAGGGTCCTTCCCCAGCTGAGCCCAACCCAGACCCGTGACAGACCCTGAGCCCAGGACCCAGCCTAGCCACGCAGATTCCTGACCCACGGAAACCGTGAGATGGTAAGCGTGCGTGGTTTTAAGTGGCCAAGTTTTCGGGTCATTTGTCACACCACGATAGAAAACTCCTACACCTGGGTCAGCGGTCATGTGCATAAGGAGACCGCAAAATCATTTGTATTAATTCTGAAATAGCACTTACAAACTATTTATGTAGCATCAACGAACAATGGAATTTATCTCAACTTGGAGAAAGAAAACCAAAACTTTATACAACCAGGAAAAAAGGAGCGCAGTGCTCCACATGAATTAAATTTCTCTAAGGATTCTGGCTAACTCCAAGGGTTTCTGACTCCCTGCAGTCTGAAAATCATACTCCATCGAATTTCTTCGGGTTTGTATGCCAACTATAAACATCTCTAAATTTCTAGCAGGTTTTTAAAAAACAAGAGGAAACAAGGAATCATCTGTCCTCTTGGCTGAACGGACCTTGCCGTAAAACTTCATTTGTACAGTAAACCATCACAGTTAAAAGTGAGCTCTCCCATTCGTAAGAAATGTCCAAGCAGGCCAATCTAGAGAGACGGAAAGCACAGGAAGGTTTGCTAGTGCTAACCCAGGCAATGGGGAATGACTGCGAAAAGGCGTGGGGTTTCTTTTTGGGGTGATGAGAACGTTCTAGAATTAGATCGTGGTGATAGCTGTACAAACTTTGTGAATAGACTTAAAAAAAAAAAACCCACGAAACTACACTTTCAAACGGTGAATTCCATGGTTTCTGAATCATATGTCGATTAGAAAGAAGCCGCAAGCAATCTCTCACGGAGGAAAGTTAACGTTTCCATTTAAGCGTCTCCCCAAATAGCCGTACGGCGTTAGTCGTGGTGTCTGCTCTCTGTGACGGGAGCCCTGCTACCACAGAACTGCTGTCGCTTTTTTTTTTTTTTTTTTTTGCATTGCATCTTCTAGGACGATACTAGCCAAAATCCTCCTCTGGTAAATGTGTGTGTGTGTGTGTGTGTGTGTGTGTGTGTGTGTGTGTGTTTTCAATGCATTTTTGTTCATTTACACGTTAGATTCATTTTTAAGACTTTCGACGATTCTCACCTCATTTTATAGTAACTAGCCAGTCCTTGCTATGAATGACAAGGTAGGACAACTTACCAAAACAAAACATTTAGGGAGGAAGAAAGTGCAAATCTTGTCAAAGATCCCACGCCAGCATCTCACGATTTATTTAAATGTCATTCCCAGACGCACATGTGGGGTGAGCATACGCTCCTATTATTACATAGTAGCACATACTCCATACCCAGCAAGGATCTTCATATGACATATGGCCTCGTAGCCTGAATCGGGGCAGGATCTCTCAAAGAGAACAGGAGGGAGAAGAAAACATTTACATTCTCTAACATGATTATAAGGAACTTGAGACAGATGAATGGAAAAACAACATCTTTGAACAATTATAATGAACAGAACGAGTCCCCCTCGTTCTGCTTGCTTTAAATAGCTGATCTCTGTAAACTTGAATACCAACCCTGGCAGATCGAGCAGTCTTAATTCCTTGATTTTCCGTACTGAATACCGTCCAATACTCGGCGGCGACGACGGGTGGCTACGTCAGCCGGGCCGTTGTCCGGCTGTGCCGCCCGGAGGGGCCCCGGATCAGATACTTCGGTAGTCAGAGCCCCGGGCTACAATGGCAGCGGCATCCCACTCCACGGAGAAGAACGAGATAGTTCCAAAAAACCCAAATATCACCATGACCAGGAGTTGCCAGTGAAGGAGAAGGTAGTTACTGTAGAAAAATGCCACGGCTGCGCAAATGGACTGAGACAGAACAAGACGAGTCAGAAAACGCACACAGATGGCCCCACGGTGCCACAAGGAGCCCACCACCCTCCGCCCCCTGGCTTTCTTTCTGTGACCGGCGGCGCACCTGCCCTTCCTGCATCCAGATAGGACTTCATCCGTCACTAGCTCGCAAACACACACCACATACTCCCGCTGAGAGCTGTTACCAACCAAGTAAGCTGCAACCTGTCATTTAACGTAGTGTTTTGGGAGGCGCCTGGGTGGCTCCGTCGGTTAAGTGTCTGACTCTTGATTTTGGCTCAGGTCACGACACCAGGGCCGTGAGATCAAGCCCTGGGTCAGGCTTTGCGCTGAGTGTGGAGCCTGCCTAAGAAATTCTTTCTCTCCCTCTGCCCCCCTCTCTTGCTTGTGTCCTCCCTCTCTCTCAAAAAAAAAAAAAAAAAAAAAAATAGTATCTTGTGAGAAACTGAGTAATAAAATAATGTACATATGCAGCAGAAATATGCTTGTCTATATTACAAAGGAATTTGGGTATCTAAGGCAGGAAGGCTCTCATCTGAGCGGTAAGACCAGAGCGTAAAATGGGGCACCTGGGTGGCTCAGTCAGTTAAGCGTTCGAGTTTGGCTCAGGTCATGATCTCACGGTCTGTGAGTTCGAACCCTGCGTCGGGCTCTGCAGACAGCTCAGAGCCTGGGGCCTGTTTTGGATTCTGTGTCTTCCTCCCTCTCTCTCTGCCACTCCCCCGCTCATGCTCTCTCTCTTGCTCTCAAAATCAAACAAGCAAGCAAACAAAACTTTAAAGACCAGAGTGTAAAATCTCTTAAATCACACTCCTCTCTGCCTCCTAATTCCGATCAGAAATACCTGACAGGCTGTCCCTGATTGTCATTTAAGAGCCATTAAAAAAAAACAAGGTTAAAGGCACTAAACAAAAAAGGGGAGTCCACTTAAGGCCAGTGTGAAGAAGAGATTACCTGAACAAACTTGAAGATCGCGAAGGCTGGAGCGCTGTCTTCCGAATAGAGAAACCCTAAGATGCTGAGCAGCTGGGTATTGAAGCAGCTGTCCCCAAGACCCAACAGGAAACTGCAGAAGATAGCGACCTCTTTGCTGCATGAAAGGAAAATGGATCCGGAATGAGTGTTCTGACCATACTTGCTGGAGCCATTTCAAGTGGAAAAGCCACTGCCCCACAAGAGCATCTCACTTTCAAGTTTTACGCACTATGGCACAAGAAGTAAATACCGGAGTCCCCAGAGTAAGAATTTATGCTCAGACACGCTCAATTTCAGGGTCTGGCAAACGCCGGTCGATTAACTCTTTGGGAGCAAACACTGTGTTTGGGCAGGGCCGGCCTTGGATGGTGGATCTGGACCCAAATGTCTACATCTACAACGAATCTGAGCTGATGGCAATACAGTAAGATCCTCAAAACGGACAAAACCAGCTATGCACGGACCGGACGGCCCACCCGGCTGGCCGATTACCCTTCTCCTCACCACTCTTCACCACTCGGAAAGCAGACACATGAAATCACATCAGGTACTTATAGGCTCTTTCACAGATCAAGAAAAACATTTAGGTGCGTTGAAAGGTTAAAACCGACCATTTCAAAAAGAACTTGGGATTCTTCCTATGAGCTCCTGTTTAAACTAATTCTGGTTCACCATCTGACAGGTCACCTTATAAAGATACCAGATTTTCAGATCATGATTAACTTCTCCATTTTATAAATATCTAGCCACCCGTGACCTGCCACCCTTCTTCCTTGAATTACCAGAAAAACGACAGTCATTGCGTGCCTGGGTGGCTCAGCTGGTTCAGCGGCTGACTTTGGCTCAGGTCATGATCTCGACGTTCGTGAGTTCAAGCCCCTCGACGGGCTCTGTGCTGAGGGCTCAGAGCCCGGAGCCTGCCTCGACTCCTGTGTCTCCCTCTCTCTCTGCCCCTCCCCCACTTGCCCTCTGTCTCTCTCTCTCTCTCTCTCTCTCAGAAATAAACAAACATTAAAAAATAAAATGACAGTCACCATACCTGGATCTGACGTAGGCAGTACTATCCGTTCCTTCGACAGGAGCAATAGAGGCGTCCCCAGGCATGTTGAGAAATATCAAATAAAAAGCTATAAAATGCACCAGGATGCCCAACAACACAACTGGATTTCTACCAAAGTGATTGTTCTTGCTCAGCAGGCCAAAGAGGCTTCCACCTACGGAGCCAATGACGTAGAGAACAGAAAAATTTAGTAAGTCAAAATTCTAATTCTTTGAAAAAAATAAACCGATAAACCAACAGCCCAGTTAATGAAGGGGTAAAGAAAGCACGGATACTAAAAACAAAAAATAACCGTTGAAACAGAAGAAATTTTAAACGTCAGAACCGACTTCTAGGTCAGTGAGGTAACAGGGAGTAGATTTAACACCTGCCTAAAAAAAAATCCGAAGTAATAATTTTGAAGACACAAGCTATGAGGTGACAAAGGGGCAGTGATCTCTGAGATGGGGGAGGAAGCAAAGGAGGTGAACCCGGCTACTGCCCACCGGCTGGTCGAGAGAGAGGTTTAAGCTGGGCTGCAGGGGGGGGGGGGAAGGCAGGTGGATCCCACAGCCTCCCCGAGAGGAGGAGACCAGAGCTCAGGGTCTGGGGATACATGGGTGGCTATGGAGTTCCAGAACAGGCTATCATTAGGGAAAGCTGCCCAGAGGGACGACTCCAGAGACCTACAGAGGGTCCCCCCTGAGTCTTCCCTAAGTGCCGATCAGCACATAATGTGAGTAAATTAGCAGAGGCCCGAAAGAGAACCATCCAGGAGGGTTAGATGTATTAGCGCCCCACCCTGGGCCAGGAATAGTGCCTCGTCCCCCCAGCCAGACAGGAAATCTTATGACTCACAGGCACTGGGTGTACACAGAAAGGTCTTCCCTCAGGAGCGAGGAATAATTAGCCCTCGTCTGAGCCCTGCTCTGGTCCTGTCCAACAAACCTTAAAAGCAAGCCCTGAAAAAGTCATACTGTTTCCAAGTAAACGAACTGTAGCCAAGAACAAAGCTCGAGAATATTCACGAGAATAAAAAAACAGGCAGCACCCCACAAGGTTAAGTTCACAGAGTCTGGTGTCCCCACTGTTCCCAAGCAAAGAGGCACGAAAACAGGACCCGTCATGAGGAGAAAAAGCAGTCGGACGTGGCGTTGTTACACGACCCAGCAATTCCAGTCCTAGTTACATACCCCAGAGAATTGAAAACGTTATGTTCACACAAAAAGTATACATACATGTTCACGGCGGTATTATTTAGAACGGCCAAAAATGTGGAAACCCAAATGTCCATCGAATGATGAATGGATAAGTAAAATGTGATCTATCTATGCAACGAAATATTATCTAGTGAGAAAAAAAGGATGGAATACTGATATGTGCTAGAAAGTGGAGGAACCTTGGAAATGTTCTGCGAAATGAAAGAAGCCAGACCCAAAACACCATACGTTCTATGATTCCATTTCCATGAAGCGTCCCGAATAAGCAAACGTATAGAGAAAGGTTGCCTGGAGGAGGGCAATAAGAATGTTCTAGAGTTAGAGGGTAGTGATGACTGTACACCCCTGTGAACATACTAGAAAATACTGCCCTGGACGCCTTAAGTGGGGGACATATATGGCATGTGAGTTATATCTCAAGAAAGTTGTGTAAAAAACAAAACAAAACCAAAAAAACCACCCCAGAACCGTCACAGATACTAGGATGAGCAGAAACATGAAAACAATTCATAGGACTGTATTCCCCATGTTCAAATACATCTAAATACCTGGTACTGTTCTAGGTGTGGGCAGCAAAGCAGGAAACAAAAAAACACTCAAGTCTGCTCTCTCCATAGCGTGATCCCCGTTGGCCATTCGAAGGGTCCTGTGTTTTTTTATGGTCTGTGTCTTTCCCCAAGGCCCTAAGTTTCACGTGGACAGGAAGTCTTTTATTCGTACAGTGGATGCAGTTATCTGATGAATCTGGGAAGTTCCTCGTACGTGACAACGTCTGATACACGGGTGAAGGTCTCCAACGACCTTTGCCCGATACGGAATAGCCGCACTTGTGATGGGCACCGGGGAGCTGAAGGGAAGTGTTCACCCCCTACAGTGTACTCCTGAAACGAGTATGACACTGGATGTTAACTCCCTGGAATTTGAAAATATATATAAAAAGAGGAATCCCTAGTGCGGACCAGGAAAAACACACACTGGTCTTTGCCTTGTTCCCCCTTCCTCCCCGCTTCCTGGCACAGAGCTCCTAGAACCCTGTGGCTTTCCTCGGTGTCAGGCACGTTTTCGTTTGTGCTCCCTCGTACCTCCCTTTCGACCGGACCAGAGCTTATGCGAATGAGTTGGTTCTTCAGGGGGTTTAGGGGTGGTGTAGCTAGCCGGCTTCAGGATGCCCGCTGGCTGCCGGAAGGACCAAGACTTGATCTGAGGGTTGGAATTTTCAGGGCCGGCCCCCAAGCTCAGGGCAGGTGGGGGGGGGTTGGAGATCCGCTTCGATCGCCATTGGCCAACGATATCATCAACCCTGCCTCGCTGATGAAAAGTCACAAACACCCCTCAACGACAGGTTTGGGAAAGCTAGCCTGGTTGGCTGGTGGATGCATCCACGTACTGAGAGGGTAATGTACCCTGACTCCATGGGGACCGAGGTTCCCATGCTCAGAACCCTCCTGGACTTTGCCCCATGTGCCTCCTCATCTGGCTGTTCATTTGTATCCTTTATAAAAAGCTTTAACAGTAAGTATAGCATTTTCCTGGGGGCTCATGGGAACCTCCCAACTCATAGCCAAGTCAGACAGAAGTGCAAGTAGGTAGCCTGGGGACCTGGGACTTACAAGTGGCGTCTGAAGTGAGGGTGTCTCTGTGGGACCGAGCCCTCGGACCTGGGGAGTCGGACGCAAACTCCGGTACTTAAGAGTTAGAAGTGAATGATCTTGCCGGACATCCAGCTGGTGTCAGATTCAGAAGGACAAGAAAGTCAGGGATTCCGAGACATTTTCCCAAAGTGTCTTAAGAGAAGAAGCTGGGAGAGACTGGATGTGTTTTCCTATTTACGGTTCTGTCTGTGAATCACATGGCAACTGCCTCGTTTTAGAACAATGATAATAAAAAAACAAGGACATACCGATGTGAATAGAACTAAGCAAGGAAACTAAAACACGAAGACAAGGAAGTGAATGAAATACACTTACAGTATCTCTGATGACTACAACCAACGGGTTTAATGTGAAAACCCACAGTTTTAAACCAACCTAAAATTTCTCCAATGCCAATGAAAATGCCAGAAAGTCCAATGAGGCTTTTCTCTTCTGTCCCAAATTTATTTACAGCACCAATACACGTTCCGTAGACACCAGAGAAGAAAGTCAATTCCAGACCTTTGGAGGAAAAAAATCAGATTTAGTTACACATCTACAACCTCCGTTTCCTGGTTTTCTCCCCGGCTGGTGGTATTTGAGCTGTATATATATACGATAAAGTTCCCTCGGGGGACGGGTTACTCCCCCGTAGAGCCACAGAGCTGAGGCAACGGAATTAGATGTTTAATATTTATTCTATTTCTCCGAAAAAGATGTTTATACGTACAATGCACATAAAGGCAAAACTAATCACTGGCACATTGCAGCATCTTTTTTTTTTTTTAAAAAACATGACAGCCCTTCAAAAAAAATTTTTTTAAATGTTTTATGTTTGAGAGAGCACGCGAGTGGGGGGAGGGGGAGAGAGAGAGAGGGAGACAGAAGATCCAAAGCAGGCTCTGCGCTGAGAGCGGCAAGTCTGAGGCAGAGCTTAGACCCATGAACTTCAAGACCACGACCTGAACCGAAGTCAGATGCTCAACCGACGGAGCCACCCAAGCGCCCCTGATGGCATTTTTTTTAAAAGGAAACCGATTTCCTCATTCTTAAGACCTCAGAGCGCTCCATCTACTCTCAGGGTTAAGCCACAGAGCTCCTTCCATTTCATTAGAAAGTATATGGAATCTATACAAAGTTACAAGGATTTACCCAGGGTTATTTTCCGGAGTGCTCCATTTTGCCCTAAAATCACTGGTTGGGATGAACCGGTTTTCAACCCCTGTGTAGAATTCTCCCACACTGAATTTGGGCTGACCCTGTGATATGCTTTCACCAATGAAATGCAGTGAAAGGGGCACAGGGCTCGTGCCAGGCCGAAGCATTAAGAAAAGCCTGGTCCTGGGGTGCCTGGGTGGCTCAGTCAGTTAAGCGTCCGACTTCAGCTCAGGTCACGATCTCGCGGTTCTGTTCATGAGTTCAAGCCCTGCGTTGGGCTCTGTGCTAATAGCTCAGAGCCTGGAGCCTGCTTCAGATTCTGTGTCTCCCTTTCTCTCTGCCCCTTCCTCTCTCTCTCTCTCTCTCAAAATTAAAACATTTGGGGCGCCTGGGTGGCTCAGTCGGTTAAGCGGCCGACTTCGGCTCAGGTCATGATCTCGCGGTCCGTGAGTTCGAGCCCCGCGTCGGGCTCTGTGCTGACCGCTCAGAGCCTGGAGCCTATTTCCGATTCTGTGTCTCCTTCTCTCTGACCCTCCCCTGTTCATGCTCTGTCTCTCTCTGTCTCAAAAAAATAAATAAACGTTAAAAAAATTTTTTTTAAATAAAAACATTAAAAAAAAAAAAAAAAAAAGACCATCAGTAGAACTATTCAGCTGACCCCCGTCAGTGCACAGAACTGTGAGAATGAATAATACAGTGGTTGTTTTCGGTCCTCACTGGCATTATGCAGCAACAGAAAACCCAAACCCCGTCATGAAGCCCATTACCTGTATAAGCAGTTGTAATACTAAGAAGGAGCATCTCCCTGGTGACACATAACTTAAGAGACTTTCCTGTAAGAAAGAAAACAATTTAGGAGTACTTAACTAGATTTTACTTACTCAGACAAAAATTCTAAACCATTTACTCAACCCAAACACCCCTCATCGATAATGCCAGGAGACAAAAAACAGTGGGACAGGGGCGCCCGGGTGGCTCAGTCGGTTAAGCATCCGATTTTGGCTCAGGTCTGATCTCACCATTTGTGGGTTCGAGCCCCATCTCGTGCTCTGTGCTGACAGCTCAGAGCCTGGAGCCTGCTTCAGATTCTGTGTCTCCCTCTCTCTCTGACCCTCCCCCACTCGCACTCTGTCTCTCTCTCTCTCTCAAAGATAAACAAACACTAAAAAAAAAAGCGGGACAGAGGTTAATGATTCAGATGCTTAAGGGATGAACTACATCTGCCCTCTAAATTAAATGTTTATTTCAGCTGCGTAAATACATTCTAGAGTTGTGTTTTCCCCCACACACTCTCCAGCTCGGATTTCAAAAAACAACACGAAACGGAGAAAACAAATAGAATCAAACAAAACGAGACTTATTTCAATGGACTCGACTGAAGGTTAGGCTGAGTCCACGGCTGGCAAAGCGCTAATGTACCCGAGGAATTATCGCAGAGCGGCTTGAAGACTGGACTAGATCAGGGAGGGAGCTTTCTGAGCAGACAGAGGCTGCGACACCACTTCCTGCGATTCTCAGTTCTCTAGATCTGAGGACTGAAACTTTAGTTCTTCGTGTTTGTTTACGACCGCTTGAATGTCTGTTTTTATGCTGTTCAATGCAGTTGAAATCTGCAACGGAAAACGCATGTCTACAAACTGTGTATTTTTTTAAATTTATTTATTGACAGAGAGGGAGAGAGAGAGAGAGACAGAGAGAGAAAACGACCAAGCAGGGGAGGGGCACAGAGACAGACAGAGAATCCCAAGCAGGCTCCACACTGCCAGCACGGAGCCCAACGCAGGGCTCAAACTCACGAACCGTGAGATCATGACCTGAGACGACACCAAGAGTCAGACCCTGAAGTGACTGAGCCACCCACCCCGGTGCCCCACACAAACTGTATTTTAGCCGTATTTTTGAACCTGCTCACATTTCATAATTTAAGGCCAATGACCTAGCGTCTTCAATGAACAGTCAATCCAGATTTTAGTTCTCGCTCAACAGCTGACTACAAACGTTACACAAGACACGTACGCACGGTCCCGAGTGTCACCACCTGCAGAAGAGGATACCCTGTTCTCTAATTTCACTAAAATATGGTGAGACTAATACAGGGAGACATTTCACTACTTGCATGTATTTCCAGGAAAACTACACCATCAGTATGACGTTTAAAACAATTGTTTTCCCTTTTTTTAATGTTTTTCATTTTTTGAGAGAAAGAGACAGAGAGTGAGCGGGGGAGGGGAAGAGAGAGAGGGAGACACAGAATCCGAAGCAGGCTCCAGGCTCCTGGCTGTCAGCACAGAGCCTGACGTGGGGCTCGACCCCACGAACTGTGAGATCATGACCTGAGCTGAAGTCAGACACTTAACCAACCGAGCCTCCCAGGTACCCCTAAAACAATTATTTTTTCTAAGTTTATTCATTTATTTTGAGAGAGACAGAGACAGCGTGAGCAGGGGAGGGGCAGAGAGAGGGGGAGAGAGAGAGAATCCCAAGCAGGCTCCACGCTGTCAGCACAGGACCTGACATGGGACTTGAATTCACAAACTGTGGGATCATGACCTGAGCCACAACAGAGAGCTCGACGCTTCATCGACTGAGCCACCCAGGTGCCCCAAAACAATCATTTTTGATAAAAAATAATTATATTAGCAAAGCACGTTCGTTTCTGAAAGATCGGAAGATTTAACAAAAAGAAATTTTAAAACATAATCCAGAATGATACCATAACAGCAGCTACATGTCATTACGCATTTGTCCCAACCTGTAAGAGGTACAACCTCCAAAAGCGTGCCCCCATGTGAGCTGTGGATTCAGGAGGATGACTGCATGTGATCGCAGGTTCATCAACTATGCCACTCGGGTGGGGGAGGCTGCGCACAAGAGGTGGGGGGGGGGCTATGGGAACTTTCCTCAGTTTTGCTGTGAACCTAAAACGGCTCTGAAAAATGAAGTCTACCAACAATAACAACAACAACACATCATCTATCTACAGAAATAGACACACCGATCCTAAAATTCACGTGGCAATTCAAGGGGCTCACAACAGCCAACACAATCTTGAAACGGAACAAAGTTGGAGGGCTCACGCTTCCCAACTTCAAAGCTTGACAGTAATCAGTGGATTACTGGCGTCAGGTCAGACACGTAGAAATAAACTAGAAATAAACTCTCTAGAAATAAACTCTGCCATATACAGTCAATGGGTTTTCAACAAGGGCGCCGATACGATTCAATGCGGAAGAACCGTCTTTTCAGCAGGACAACCACGTGGCCCCATGCAGAATGAAGTTGGACTCCTCCCTCACAATGCACACGACAATGAACTCAGAATGGACCCTCCACCTGAAGGGAAGAGCTACAAGTATAAAACCCTTAGAAGAAAACACAGGAGCAAATCTTGTGACCCAGGGGTCAGGCAAAACCTTCTGAGGACACCAAAGACACATGCAGAAGGTAACACAGATAAGTCAGCCTACGTCAAAAATGTAGGGCTCTTGTGGTTTAAGAGACACCATCAGAAAACGAAAAATCAATCGAAGGAATGGGAGAAAATACTTGCAAATCACATATATATGAGATTTTTTATACGGGATATATAAAGAGTTCTTACAACTCAACAATAATAAAAAGACACTCCAATTAAAAGCTGGGAAAAGGACCCGAGTAGACGGTTCTCCAGAGACGTGATGCAAATGACCCGCAAGCATGTGAAAATATGCTCCACGTCCTTAGCCACTAGGGAAATGCAAATCAAAACCACAAGATGACACTTCGCACCCACTTGGACAGCTGTCAACAGAAAGATAGTAACTCAAGGACGTGCAGAAACCGGAAGCCTCAGACACTGCCGGTGGGAACGTAAAATGGTGCAGCCGCGCGAGAAAACATCTGCTGGTTCCTCAGAAGGCTGAACCCAGCGACCACGGGAGCGAGCAACCCAACTCCTACCAAGTGCGTGCACGGAGATGTGCAGACGAACGTCCAGGCGAAAACCTGGACACGAATGTTCACAGCAGCGTGACTCATGCCACCTACGAAGTACAAACAGCCTGTTGTTTATAACGCGCTAGAACACGGGCGAGCCTCGACACCATGACGCTGAGAGCCAGGTCACGAAAGAGCGCACATAGCATGACTCTATTCGTACAACGTAATGTCCAGGAGAGGCGAAGCTCGAGATGGAAAGTGGATTAATGGATGCCTAGGGTAAGGGACGGGGGGAGTGGGGAGGAAAAGGAAGTGACTGCTAATGGGTACAGAAATTCCTTCTGGGGTGGACAGGTTCTATAACCGTCTGTGGTTAGAGGTGCACAACTCTAGAAAGATACTAAATAGGGCTGAATTGTACCCTTTAAGTGGCCGATCATACAGTGTGTGAATTATAGCTCAATAAAGCTATTCTATTAAGGAAAAAACCCCACAATCTAAATAATGGGTCTCCGTCCGGACTTAAAAGTTTTTTTAATAAAAACAAATTTTAAGGGGCGCCTGGATGGCTCAGTCGGTTGAGCGTCCGACTTCGGCTCAGGTCATGATCTCATGGTTTGTGAGTTCGAGCCCCGCATCGGGCTCTGTGCTGACAGTTCAGAGCCTGGAGCCTGCTTCGGATGCTGTGTCTCCCTCTCTCTGCTCCTCCCCCACTCATGCTGGCTCTCTCTCTCTTAAAACTAAATAAAGCTTAAAAAAATAATTAAACACAAATTTTACTGTATATGAGTATATATATATATAGTATATGCATATATTATGTAGTATATATATATATATATATACACACACGTACACTATTTCTAAGTTTGTTTTCACATAAGAGAGCAAATATTTCCTAACGTGCATCAAGATCATTTTTATGGCTAGGATAATCTGTCATATAGATGTACAAAATGACGCCTTGTAGTTGAACATTTAAATCACTTACATAAACATCTTAGTAATTAAATCTTGACAAAAATGCTTAGTTATTTCCTGAGGATAATCTTATTCGTGGAATTGCTGGGGTAAAGGTACAAATATGTCTAAGGCTTCTGACACTTGCAGACAAATTGCTCTTCAGAAAATAATACGAACGGGGGCGCCTGGGTGGCTCAGTTGGTTAGGCAACCGACTTCGGCTCAGGTCATGACTTTGAGCCCTGCGTCGGGCTCTGTGCTGTGAGCTCGGATCCTGGAGCCTGCTTCGGATTGTCTCCCCCTCTCTCTACCCTTCCCCTGCTCATGCTCTGTGTCTCTCTGTCTCTCGATAATAAATAAACGTTAAAGAAAAAAAATTTAAAGAAAATAATACGAAAGTGTATTCCCATCAGCAGCATGGTCTTATGCATGCTAAGTACTCACCATCCATAATACAGATGATTATTGTTTTTATCTTTTGAAATTTGATGGAAAACTTTCTTTTTTGATGGAACACTTTTAAATTTGCATTTCTTCTACTTAAACAAGTATTTTCCCTGCCATTTTAACTCCGTTAGGTTGTTCTGATACACTGAAGTTTTACACTTTATTTTTTATTTTTTTTTTAATTTTTTTTTTCAACGTTTATTTATTTTTGGGACAGAGAGAGACAGAGCATGAACGGGGGAGGGGCAGAGAGAGAGGGAGACACAGAATCGGAAACAGGCTCCAGGCTCTGAGACATCAGCCCAGAGCCTGACGCGGGGCTCGAACTCCCGGACCGCGAGATCGTGACCTGGCTGAAGCCGGACGCTTAACCGACTGCGCCACCCAGGCGCCCCTAAAGTTTTACACTTTAAGCAACTTTAAAAGGGCATTCTTTTCCCTTATTGTCTGAATGACCCGTTTAAAAGGCATTGCCCTACCCAATTAGTCTCTTCAATTACTTTTGTGGTTTCATTTTTACATCGAATCCACCTGGAACGTTAGGATGCATAAAGTTTGAGTCTATATTTTTCTACACTGTCTGCTCCCTAACTTCGCTTAAGAGTTTCTTTTATTGTATTTATTGTATTGCGGACATGGGCCTCATTCTAGACTTTAGTTCTACTGCTCCTTCTACTCCAAAGTCTTCAAATGAATTCACAGAATTTAACATTTATTAGGGAAAGTCCTTTTTATTTTTTTTTTTTACTTTTAGAGAGCGAGCAAGCTTGAGTGGGGAAGAGGGGAGAGGAAGGAGGGGAGAGGAAGGAGGAGGGAGAGAGAGAGACAGAGAGAGACAGAGAGAGAGAGAGAGAGAGAGAGAGAGAGAGAGAGAATCTTTAACAGGCTCCACGCTCAGCACAGAGCACAACGCGGGGCTTGATCCCACCAACCTTGGGATCATGGCCTGAGCCCAAATCAAGAGTTGGGACGCTCACCCAGGCGCCCGTTAAATCCTTTTCAAAAATTCTCTTGGCTATTCTTAGACATTTATGCTTCCAAAGGGGCTTCAGGATTGTTTCTTCAAGACCAAGAAATACATTTTCAAAAATTTCAATGATGTGTTCTAGAATCCCATTAAACATACACGTCCAGCTGAGGAATGAAGTGCTTTTTAGATGAACAGAAACCGTTTCTGCCCCCCATTCATCACAGCGTCAACTGAAGGCATCTGATGAGTAAACAACGGATGACAGATGACTTAAAGCTTGGACACTCTTCTTTCTGTGCTCTCTCTGGCTTCCGCGCCACCTCGTTGCCTCCCGCTGCTCCCCAGGAACCGGCTCCTCAAACCGCCTGCCCTGTAGCACCTTTCTGGCTGCCCCTCCTTTCTCCCCAAACTAGACGGCACAACATCCCATCAGTCCTGAACCCTGCTCAGCAACCAACTAGTTCCATGACGAAACCGTGTGGTCCTAATCGTGTTCGCGCCTCATTTTACAGACAGGCTGAGGCAAAGTCTGTACATCCGGGAGAGACATCTTGAATCTGGTGGCAACAGGCAGCCAGGGAGAGGGGGGCTGCATCGAGCCTCACCCAAGGCTGGACGGAACATCCCATAAGCCTGAAGATCACCCAGGCAAGCCCCTTTCCCTCGACTCCGTGGCTCGCCAAGTTAGCCATAGGGGGCTTTCTGGGCCCCGGATCACAAGAAGGAAGTATCTACGAAGGGGCTCGCTAAAACATATTAAATGCCATCATCAATGGTTCAGTTGTGACTTCTGTGGGTTTAGCTTGAGTCCTTTCCCCTCCGGCCCCTCTGATCAATGGTGGCGCTCGTGACACACAAGTTTCTAGGTCTGCAAAGCTGAGAGTCAGACCTCTGACTGCAGTGACCTCCCATCCTGCTGGGGGACAGGCAGGTTACATCCTTTCTTTTTTTTTTTTTTTTTCAACGTTTATTTATTTTTGGGACAGAGAGAGACAGAGCATGAACGGGGGAGGGGCAGAGAGAGAGGGAGACACAGAATCGGAAACAGGCTCCAGGCTCTGAGCCATCAGCCCAGAGCCCGATGCGGGGCTCGAACTCACGGACCGCGAGATCGTGACCTGGCTGAAGTCGGACGCTTAACCGACTGCGCCACCCAGGCCCCCCTTTATCCTTTCTAATTATAATGGGTAGCCCGAGTTGTAATTACGAACGCGTTCCCAAAATGTAAGAAATACGTACAATAAAAGCCTGATTAAACAGCCTTAACAATAATATGCTATATATTCAGAGCTCAGAATATCACACCCCATAAGCCCTTTCTAGAAAAGGAGACTACAGGAATTGCTGGCTAAAAGTTGGGTGCTTTCGGTCATCTGACTTAGGCCATGGCCGATTCGACCAAGAATTTGCACCCTGGCCCGAAGCAACCTGTCGGCTGGCCACAAGCACAGAAGAGCCTAAGGCCCAGAGTCCTAACTGAAACAACGTGGCCCCAAAAGGCTGCTCCCTTCTAGACGGCGTCAGACTCTCCTTGGGAGACAAAGAGGCTGCGAGGGCTCCAGGCAGAAGCAAAGGACTGGCCCACATCAGGCCTTATTAGAATCGGAAGCCGCGTCTGCCGCTTTCTAAAGGAGGCACAAGATGACCGTTATGGGAATCACTGGCTTTGCCGGTCACACCCTCTGGGCTCCGATCCCAGCTCGGCCGCATCCTAGCTACTTGACCTTGGGAAAATCATTTCTCTGAGCCTCGGTTTCCTCTTCCATCAAATGGAGAGAATGACAGGCATGCGCTATATGACACAGAACTGTCGTGAGGAAGGACACGGCGTGAACACGGAGGGAGGCCTGGCCGGGAAGAGCCCTCCGCGGAGGAGCACGACCGCGCCGACAGACTCGGTTGAGGGGACGGCCGGTGTGTCCTCGCCTCCTGGCGTGGAGCTCCGGCCCCCCGAGCGCTCTGGCCCTCCCCACGCCCCCACGCCACCCCTGCAGGGCCCCGTCCACCCCGCCCCCCCCCCCCCATTCCTGTTCCAGAGGCACTGGCTGAGAAGACTAGCACGCTCCGGGGCGGCATACCTGGAGACAAGGAAACACTGGGGGATCGTCAATCCAAAGTTAGCGGGGGGAGGGGGAAAGGCAAATGTCGCAGTTGTCCCCGAACAGCTCTGGCATTTCAGACCCAGTGTTTTCTAATACTTACTAAACGCGTCTACTGCCTTTGCCACGGTGTTCTGGGCAGACCTGAAAACATAAAAACAAGAGATCAAAGTGATTTCCCCTGAAAGATGTAAAGGGAACAAAACAGCGATCGCGTTTTCACCGACGTTTGTCACAACACCGTCCTCTACGAGGTCTGGCAGATATTTCCGTTGCCGCACAATATGGGACCCTGTCCTCGCTGCAGAGGACGAGGGGAGAGCGTCCAAACCCGATTCTCTCATGCTAAATCTGTGGCTCACATCCACACACGTCCTGTTCAGAAAGGATACTTCAGGCGGGCAGAAGTCTCCCCACCCTGCTATTTTCATACTGTAAAAACAACTAGTAAAAATTCAATTTCCCTCCACTCTACTTTGTTATTTTTGAGAGAGAGAGAGGGGGGGGGACAGGGAGGGAAAGAAAGAGCACAAGCAGGGGAGGAGCAGAGAGAGAGGGAGACACAGAATCCGAAGCAGGTTCCAGGCTCTGAGCTGTCAGCACAGGGCCCAACATGGGGCTTGAACCCACAAACCGTGAGACCATGACCTGAAGCGTCCGAAGTCGGAAGCTTAACCGACTGAGCCACCCGGGTGCCCCCACTCTGACTACTTTAAATTATTTTTTTTTACGTTTATTTATTTTTGATAGAGAGAGACAGAGCACAAGTGGGGGAGAGAGAGAGGGAGAGAGAGAAGGAGACAACAGAATCCGAAGCAGGCTCCAGACTCCGAGCTGTCAGCACAGAGCTCAACGTGGCGTTCCAACTCAGGAGCCATGAGATCACGACCTGAGCCGAAGTCAGCCGCTTAAATGAGTCGCCCAGGTGCCCCATACTTCTCTGGCACCTTTAAATAATAATATATTTTTAAAGTTTTTATTTATTCACTTTGAGAGAAAGTGCGAGCAGAGGAGGGGCAGAGAGAGAGGGAGAGAGCGAGAATCCCAAGCGGGCTGCTCCATGCTGTCAGTGCAGAGCCCGATGTAGGGCTCAAACCCACGAGCCGTGAGACCATGACCTGAGCCAAAGTCGGCCACTTAACCGACTGAGCCACCAGGCACCCCTTTAAATAACATTACTTACAAAAAAAAAAAAAGAAGAAACCTCATGGAGATCCAGTTGACTTATATAAATGAATTACTGACACAAAAAAGGTAGTCTGTTCTAACGGACAGGAAAACCTCTTTTTTCACCATAAAAACGCGTGCCTTGCCTGGAGGCAAACAAACACTCTTCAGATTCCAAATAACTGATAGGACGCTTGTAGACGGATAGGCTCGGATGTAGGATTTTAGTATTTTACATTTCAGTACCCAAATAAGTAGGAACTGATTTATATACTCTCTAGCCTGTTACAATACAAGCGAGCCAGCCAGCACTCGGGTGCAAATCAATGACCTATTAAAGGAAGCCATTTCTAGTAGAATTCTGAAATAAGACGAACCCCAGGTCCTGCAAGGAACGGAGCGGGCAGAGTTCGATCACTGCTAACCCCTCTCAAACCCTTCAACGCCTTCCCATCTCATGCCCAGCCTACATCTTTAAGGTCCTGACTTTGAAGAGTAGCAGAACGGGTCACCCCAAAACGTGCCGCTTTGGTACACTGATTATGTCGAGCGGTAGGCACGAGAAAAACAACAGGCTTTCTCGGAACTTTCCTCATCTGCCTAAAGACAGATCCTCTAGAAGGAACCCAAATGTTATAAATCACCTCCGGAAGTTTCATCACATAGGGAAGATGGACTCTTGTCACCAGAGGGGAGACCAGACATGGACAGCTTGTCACAAACTATGTCTCCCATCTATTCTTGCAAGGGTCCGCTCATCCTTCCGAGAAGTCATTTACTCTCCCCTAAGACGCCTCTATCCTCCTCCCCTTTCCCGATTTAGACGGGTATTTAATGCCTAAATTCTGAGCCATCCTGGGAAATCACTCATTTCCCCCTGGGGTTTCTTCACGTATACACGAGCCATACGTGTTAATAAGTTTCTGATCGCTTTTTTCCCCTCGTTCATCTTTTATTACAGGGGTCTCAGCTAAGAACACGAAAGAGCGGAGGGAAAATGGTTTTCCGTCCCTACGTCTTAAATGTTACCTTCTCAGCCTTCCCTGGCAACTCCATCTACAATTTTACGTGTATGTCGTATCAATTACACACACGTAACTACTACATCCTAGAATTGCGAGGCATCCCCGCCCCCCCACCTCAAGCCCATGCTTCTGCAGCCTGCTCTGTTTTAGATTTCTATTTTCTCATCCTGGATTGCTAAGAGGTACAGGATTCTCTGGGAGGAGGGTGATAAAAACGTTCTAACGTTGGTTGTGAACTTCGAGATCATGACCTGAGCCGAAGTCAGACACTTAACCGATGGAGCCCCCCCCCCCAGGCGCCCCTCCTTCAGTGGCTTCCAATCACACCCAGAAAAGAACCCGCACTCCTGTCGCAGCTTCCCAGAACGGAATCCCTGCCTGCTGCAGACACTCCTACCTCTATTCCCTCCCCGGGCTGACTCCCACGGGCCTCCCTGCAGCCCTCGCACCCACCACACCCTTGTCTACCACCTGGTCTTGGCAATCAGTGGCCATCAGCTGATCGTCCCTCCTCCCCAGTCAGGCCGCAGGGAGCCACCCAGCTCCCCACCCCCAATCCCCTTTCACTGCCTTCTTAGCATTTCCTTTGCGGTTTTACACTCCTGGAGTCTACACCCCCTCTAAAATGAAGTCCCTCCAGACCAGGGACTTCTTGGTCTTGTTCGCTGAGGTATCCCTCAGGTTGAGAGGGGGGCTGGCAGAGAGTCGGTGCTGTTTACAGACTAGAGACAAGGAAGCTTCAAGTTGGGGAGACGCTTCAGGAAGAGAAAATGCTAAAAAGGCTGATCGGCACTCCTCAGTACTGTGCCTTATCAGTTACACTATCCTCCATCGGGGAAGTTCCCTAGAAAAAGGGAGGGGATTCTTTTTGTCTGCACAGCACACACAGCTGACATTTGCTAAAAGAACAGGTGTTCAATTTTCGCTGAATCTGTGGCGTTCACGTTCATAGAATCTCCAACATCTATCAGTTTATGCTTGGTATATACATATACAGTTTACGTTATACGTACACGTTATATATATATACGTACATACGTACGCATACACACGCATAAATACACGTGTTCAAACCAAGGTCACGCCTCTCTTTTGCTTTAAACAGTGAAATTTTGAGTGCTTAATGAACCGATGACTGGAGAGGTTTAGGCCTTTTGGGAATTAACAAGGCAGCACAGAACGCCCCGTGCAAACGTTCTAACAATACAGGAAGAGCGATAAGGCAATCTTCACAATTTACTGACTCACACACAAAGCAAAACGAGCCTGGCAAAGATTTCTCATTTCCTTCTCCTCCAACCTGGATGGTACCTGCAGAGAAATTGTCTGTGATGTTTTAGTTTTACTTATAACTGAAATATGCTCAAGTTAATTTACAGTTTGTAGAAAAACACAAGGCCATTTACTTGTTTCCCCACTGGGACCACCCTGGGGAAGACCACCTACCTGTATAAGTTAGCACAAAACCAGGTACCTCACGTAAGAGACTGGGTGTGACCAACTGTTGATGGCCCTGCCACTCACATGTGCCACAGGAATGGGGGAATTTTAGAGGTTGGACCACGCAAACCGTAACTGAGGGCAAAAACTGTCTCCAATGTAACTTGATAAGGCTGTTATCTTTGCACATTAAAACACGCGGGACACAGGCTGAACTGAAGGAGGAAACTGAGACCCAGAGGAACTAAGGGGATTATTGCTACCGTCCAGGGTCATATAACTTGTCAGCCGCAACCTGGGATTGGGCTCAAATCCCCTGTAGGCTCTCCCCCTCCCTCTTCTGCCTCTCCCTTCCTTCTCCTCTTCCCTTCCTCCTCCCCCCAGCTACCCTTTATCTTCATTCTCTTGGCTTTAAAACTCTTTCCTCAGGGCACCTGGCTGGCTCAGTCAGTACAGCCTGCAACTCTTGATCTCAGGATCTCAGGGTCATGAGTTTGAGCCCCACATTGGGCATGGAGCCTACTTAAGAAAATAAATAAATACAAATAAAACTTTTTCCTCATGTCTGCCCAATGTTGGATTATCAGTTAGGACTATGAAAAGGTTACTAATCCCAAAACTAGCTCTACTCAAAATATAGTTTTGGGGCACCTGGGTGGCTCAGTCAGTTAAGTACCTGACTTTGGCTCAGGTCACAATCTCACGGTTTGTGAGTTCGAGCCCCATGTAGGGCTCTGTGCTGACAGCTTGGAGCCTGGAGCCTGCTTCAGATTCTGTGTCTCCCTCTCACTCTGCTGCTCCCCTGCTCACGCTCTGTCTCTCTGTCTCTCTCAAAAATAAATAAATATTGGGACTCCTGGGTGGCTCAGTTGGTTAAGTGTCCGACTTCGGCCCAGGTCATGATCTCACGGTTTGTGAGTCTGAACCCCACGTTGGGCTCTGTGCTGACAGCTTGGAGCCAGGGGCCTGCTTTGGATTCTGTGTCTCCTTCTCTCTCTGCCCCTTCCCTGCTTGCGCTCTGTCTCTCTCTCTTAAAAATAAACATTAATAGGGGTGCCTGGGTGGCTCAGTCGGTTAAGCGTCCGACTTCGGCTCAGGTCTTGATCTCGCGGTTTGTGAGTTTGAGCCCCATGTCGGGCTCTGTGCTGACAGCTCGGAGCCTGGAGCCTGCTTCGGATTCTGTGTCTCCCTCTCTGTCTCTGCCCCTCCCCCGCTTGTGCTCTGTCTCTCAAAAATGAATAAATGTTAAGAAAAAAAATTAAAAAAATAAACATTTATATATACACGTATACGTATACATGTTTTTGTTTTTTTCTAGATAGAAAGGAACATGCCAACTTCTTACTCGTTGACTTCCAGGTCCTGGTCATCAGAAGACTCATCTTCTCCCAGGACATTTTCAGACTCTGGTTGCCGAATGAGAAAGAAAAGAACTGTCCCCACCAGGCTAATCACTGTCAGGGCAATAAACACTGTCCTTCGGTCACTCTCTGGAGAAAAAAAAAGAAGAAAGCAGATAACACCGACCGCGCACAATTTCAGAGTCCGTATTGTGTTCAGAAGCTGTTTATGACCATCCAAACATTTCCTCGTTAAATGTTTACTTTACCGCGTTAGTGAAAATTTCAAATAAAGAACTAAATAGAATACCTCCACCTTTGTCTTTCAGTTAAAGGAATACCAGTAAGCCAAAAGAAAACCAGCACAAGAATTTTAATCGTACTCTGGAGCCAAAGAAGCGTACAAAAGTCTAACATTATGGTCATACACAGCATAACCTTCTGTACCTCGAGATGCTGCTTGAGGCACAGGCCACGCACTAAAGTCCGGGCTTAATACAAGGAAAAAAAGTTACTAACAGGTAAAATCTGAGAGGACTTCAGGCAGCACGGTTCACTGCCACGGTATGAACAAAGCAATAATGGATACTTTGTGGATGTATTCGAACATGTCTGAAGACAGCAAAGCGAATAAACAAACCTGATATTTGAGTTTTCCCTTGCCAAGCAAAATATATGTAGAGATTTCCAAAGAACAAGCTGGGGGAAGAAAAGGGAGAAGAGGATGTTGAGGACTTACTTCCACATTTACAGTTTTTAAAGTAATGTTTCCATTATTTGTTAAAAAGCGGGGGGGGGGGGGCATATATAATTTTAAAAGTAGCTACCTGCCTGGATCATTATCGACGCCACCTTGACCCTTTTCTGAAAACTGTCAGTGACCCAGATGGAATTCAGTCTCCTCCCACGTGATAGTAACCTGATTCAGAACCACCCTACAAAGACTTGACTCGCTCTGAAACATGTGATTTATTGGCACTCTGGAAATGACTACGTGGAAGCAGGCTTATGCTACTTCTCAAATCCTGTATTTTAAAGAATCTCCAAAAAAAACCAAAAAATCCATGATTTAGTCACCTGCGTCTAATCAGATGCTTTACTTAACATACTTTCCTGGAGAAAGAACCTTTCGCTTACACTCCGGTTTCTTAACATACACCCCCCCCCCCTTATACTAAACATCTGCATTTGTGAAACCTTACCAACACCCCAATTTTGGGTGATACCCATGACGGTAAATCCTCAGGACAGATTCCATGATAAAATGACTGGTTTTGCTTTCTACTTAGGAAATATATAACATGCTGTATGTTGCTCAGTGTTGATATAATTGGACTCACTTTTGAAGTTTTTTAAATAGAACGTATTTATTTTTCAGTAACTCTACACCCAACGTGGGACTTGAACTCACAACCCTGAGATCAAGAGTTGCATGCTCTACTGACTGAGCCAGCCAGGCGCCCCTCACTTTTGAATTTCAACATACTTGTTAATAGCTATCAGGTGTAGCTCAGTGGGAAGGCCATGGTCTTTGGAATCCACATAAGGATGGCTTAAATCAGGTCAGTTACTGCACTTTTAAGCCTCTGTTTTCTCATCTGTAGAACAGAGATAATACTTTCTGGTGTCATGAGGTGGTGAAGATTACTGAAATTTAGTCACGAAGCCAACAGTCCCTGCCTGAAATATAGCAGGCGCTAAATACGTTATGGTTAGTATTATTTTCTATTTACTCATCATGAATTACAATGAGGTAGGTCCATGCGTTTTATGTGATTCCGTAAAATTTTAAATTTGAATCATATGCAGCTACAAACTCAAGCCATGTTAACACGGACGATCTGAATTTTCAATACCACAAAGATCTAAAAAAATGGTGTGGCAAAATAATTAAAGGAAAGATTAAGCTCCAGAAGGACTATTACCTAGATTGTAAGAGTGCCCAGAAAATTCCACTGTTTCTCCCAATAGTGTGCTCATCTGAATTTATTGTCAGGCAGTTTCCTTGTGCCGTCCAAAGCACTGAAATTCAAACCGAAAGGTTATCAAGAGCATGTCATCACTTAGCTTTTACATACTAAACACATGACACTCTTAGATAAATCCCAGAAGACAGAGAAAATAAGCACCAAGATGCTTACCAGCAGCTGCAATCCCAATGAAGACAGAGGCTGTGTAGAAGGACCATGGGAAAGGCTGGATAAAAACGGCAATGTACATGCTAAAATATAACAGGTCAACGTATTACAGTCAAACAACACCTTAAACAGAATGCCAAGTATGCCTTCTAGGGATCAATTTTGAGGATTCTCTCTCTCTCTCTTTTAATTCAACCTGTAAAGGACTTCTCCAGCGTGGGGAGAAAAGGGACAAACGTGACCTACTCATTTTTTTTTTTTTTTTTTGTCTTTTAATTTTTGAGAGAGAAAGAGACAGAACGTGAGCAGGGCAAGGGCAGAGAGAGAGAGAGAGGGAGACACGGACTCTGAAGCAGGCTCCAGGCTCCGAGCGATCAGCACAGAGCCCGATGTGGGGCTAGAACCCACGGACCGTGAGATCGTGACCCAAGCCGAAGTCAGACACAACCAACTGAGCCACCCAGGCGCCCCGTGACCTACTCATTCTTAATTTACGGTTTCAAGTTTGTAAGATCAGACACTTGAACGAAGGTTTGCAATCGGCCTCTGCCAATTGCTTAGCGCATGCTGGGACTGTAGTTCTGCAACCCAGAAAAAAAGCTTAGTTCTTTCATTTGAACGAGATCTCTTTCACAGAAAGAGAGTTTTGGATACTATTTTGATTAATAGTAAAACAAAAGGAAATGCGCACATGTCCCAGGACATTTAAACAACATGGTATCCCAGGGCATCAAGGAGAGAACCAAATCCCTAAAATACTGCCTGTATTCTATGTAATCCAAGTGGGCAGATTCTTTTTTTTTTTTTTTTAAGATCTTTTTTTTAAATTTAAGTAATCTCTACACCCAGAGCGGGGCCTGAACTCACAACCCCGAGATCAAGAGTCGCACATCCACCGACTGAGCCAGTCAGGCGCCCCCAATTTGGCACATTCTTGTCAAATATTTCCTACGTGTTTGAAAGGTGCCGAAGGTGTTTGGGTGATATGAAAGAAAATCATACTACTCACCTGTAAAATAAACCACTTGCAAACATAGAGAGCTGAGGTCCTACAATGGCAACCACTGATGGTGTAATCAAATTTGAAGCTGAGAACACTCCATAAATAATTGCCATGCTGTGCACATAACACATAAAAGGAAAAAACAAAACCCTTGAATCGCTGTCTCAAAAGTGCACTTTTCCAAATCTACTTAAAGTGTATGGTTTTTTTTTTTTTTTGACATAAGCATTCATTTCTTTAGTTAGAGTTAATAATAATTCTCTCATTAAGCTGCATCTCATAATACAGTTTTCACTTATGCAAAATCTTGGGCGTCTCATCAAATTTCTCTTGGAATCAGCTTGCCCTGGACAGTAGTTTTTAATGCCCTGGTAAATTGTAATAAAAGCTAGCAGCGTGCCAAGTGTTTTCCATGTTTTCTTTACTAAACCTGACAGCTCTGTGAAGACAGTATTATTATTACCCTCATTTTACAGAAAAGAAGACCAGAACACAAGGGGGTTAAGTTACTTGCCAAAAGTCCAGCTGGATAGCTGGTGAATGGTTGGAGCCAAGACGCCATCCCTGGTAAGCTCATTCCAGAAGCCCTAGTCAACAGCCTGCTCTACACACTTAGCTTACAACTCCTGGCAACAGCGTAAAATTTCGCTGTTATATAAATAACAAGCACCGAGTTATCACTTGCTTAAACTGGAACTTATTTAACTCAATCTAATGACCTCACTTGAACATCATTCAGCTACCGGAGACCCGGCCCTAGTACGTGTGTCTTGCAGCAAAGTACGACTGAAACCATTTTGAGGGTCCTCAACTCATTTACTAGCCTCTATTCATAAACCCAAAGTAAATTACTCTTTGGCTTCCATGAACCTCAAACAGCAAGCGTTCTTTGGAATGTACACGAAGACAGAGCGCTACAAAAAAAACTAGGGTATTATTAACCACTGAGAAAAATGGACATTAACATTGCTTTAGTCTCAAATATCATACAGAAGATCCGTTTAGGATAGATAATAAAGAACCAAATAATAAGAGTCATGGGGGAAGGGGGTGTTGGTCATCACCTTAGAGTTAATTACAGAGAAATTAAGAAACCCGTATGCGTTTATGTCCACATATGCGTTACATTCCCCGCTTGGATCACAATGAAGGTCTTTTCATTTTTTTGTAAAATCGGGACTAAACACCTTAACAGAAATTTAAAAGCTCCTGATGGCAGCAGGTTAATCATTATGAAATTACAAAAACAGGAGGACCAAATGTTTCAAGAGTCGTATAAAACATCCTCCGTTTAGGATTGAGAAGACATAATTAATGACAATACTTGAGTGTTTATTAAGTGCCAGGCACTGTGCCAAGAGCTTTACACGCGTCATCTGAGCAAGGAGATTGGGCTCACAGACAGAAGTAACTTGCCTAACATAAGGCAGTGATTAAGTCATGAAACCAGGATCTGAGACCTAGTACGAAATTCTACGTGAAACCGAGACTCATCACCTTTATCCTATTATGTTCTCCCAAACAGCCCAGGGGCAGAGAAAAAGCAATCACTACCAGTTCAATCACAACGTTACTGCCGGAGATTCTAAGATTCAGGTAACTGCCGTAGTATATGAAATATAGCCGATCGCACGGTACAGTACCTGGTGTATCCACTGCCGTGAAAATCTGTGCTATTTAAGCTCCTGATGACAGTTTGCTGTGTGGAAGATAAAGCTAATCAATGAAAACACTTTGCAGTCTCCCTCCCCATCCCCACCAAAGTCTGTGTCCAAGAACTGAGAACGAAGTACTCAGTAAAATAAAATTCGGGATGCACCATGCCTGAATACTGAAAGTCAACTATGAGAGATGAAAAGGACTGCAAAACAGGAAAAGGCAAACCGATGACAGGGAAGGGGGCAAAGAACAGCTGTAACTGTGCCTTAGTACTAGTACCGGTAGTGGTACCAAGCATTCTCCCAGTACTAATGCAAACCTTAATACCGACAAGAAATAACAGGTCAACACATACAGACCCCAAGTCAGATCAGAGGAAGACCATACTGTTTAACACCCCGTCCCGATACCCTATTATTAGCAAGAAATGTCTGACACATCAAATTAAACTTAAGCATAAAAACGAGGAAGGGTAGGGCAGAAAAATAAAAGGTGTCGTTTAAGCGCGCTGTCCGACGTAATTAACGTTTATCATCATCTTTGGAACGCGTTTACGGTAGGCACTTCAAAGGAGGGAGAACAGATCCCGACTCACCGCCACGTTTCCACAAGTTTGAAAGGCGGTGAACATAAACATAAAGGCAATTCCTAAAATAATAATGTTGAAAAGCTTTTTGGATTCCGGGGACATTTTGGCTCAACTCTGCCAGAGGTCAGCAGCGGCGCAGGGCGGTCGGCTCTCCTCGGGGCGAACGCACTGACGATCCTGGGGAAGGAAATGAGGCGGTGAGAAGAGCGGACGGATCCAGGAGCAAGGCTGCCGAGCTGTCAACTTCAGTTCTCGGATCGGAATCCCCGGCCGAGGGTGAAGTTGTCCCCACGGGCAATCAGGACATTCCTAGAGTCCGATCCGAGTATGGACGAGCCCAACACTCGGAGAAGTGCCAATAACGTCGCTGCTCCAGGTTGAGGGGCCCGCGAGGGGGATTAGGGGGGCCACGGCCGAGGTGCAGCGGCCGGCGCGGCCCCGCCCGCCCGGCCGGCCCTGACTCACCTCGGGCCACGCGACCCGGTCACCTGACCGCAGCCTCGGCGCCGGCCGCTCGGCCCGCTGGGAAATGTAGTCCTGCGCGGCCCGAGACGGGTAGGGCGCGCCGAGAGGGGAGCGGGGCCGAGTCCGCGCGCCCCAGCGGAGGAGGGGCTACAAAGCGGAACCCGGCGGAGGAGTCGGGAACTGCGGGAGGGAGCCCGGAGGGCGACGGGGCCGGGTCTGAGAAGGCTGGAGACAGCGGGGCAAACGGGGGGCGGGGGGAGAGTCCCCCCTCTCCGAGAGAGGCGAGAACGTTCCGCGGGGGCCGGAGCAGAAAAGCTGCGCGGCGCTCGGATACGGGCATGAAAAGGAGGCGGAGTCTAGAAGGGGAGCGCTTCCTGCCCCAACGGCGGGCGAGCGCCCGTCCGGCCTCGCTGCCGGAAAGAGCGTTTCGCGGGCTTTCCAACCGCTCGCCAATTCCGCTCCCCCCTCCCAGCAACAGTGACTCCGCGCTTTTCGGCCCGCCCGCCGGGCTCTGCGCAGGCGCGCCGGACAGGGGCGGGGCGCGTGGCCGCGGCGCGGCGGGGCGGGGCGGGGCGAGCCAATCAGGGGATTCATTTCCGGGTGGCGCGGGCGCCATTTTGTGAGGAGGGCTATAAACGGGCGCTGGGGCCGACTGCCCGCCCAGTTGTTTCTCTGGTGGAGTCGGCTCCGTGGGTGTCTCGCTCGCGTCGCCCCGTCCGGCCTCTCCCAGCGGCCCCACGCGGGAGCCGACCGCCAGAGGCGCGGCGCGGCGTCGAGCCGGGCTAGTCCGAGGAAACCGCCGTCTCCGCCGCGCGCGCGGGCCCGCCCGGGGCGTTCGTTTGTCGGCGCGCAGTCGCGGCCCCCGGCCGACTCTCCAGGGCCATGAGTTACGGTCGCCCGCCTCCCGATGTGGAGGGCATGACCTCCCTCAAGGTGGACAACCTGACCTACCGCACGTCGCCCGACACCCTGAGGCGCGTGTTCGAGAAGTACGGGCGCGTGGGCGACGTGTACATCCCGCGGGACCGCTACACCAAGGAGTCCCGCGGCTTCGCCTTCGTCCGCTTCCACGACAAGCGCGACGCCGAGGACGCCATGGACGCCATGGACGGGGCCGTGCTGGACGGCCGCGAGCTGCGGGTGCAGATGGCGCGCTACGGCCGCCCCCCGGACTCGCACCACAGCCGCCGGGGCCCGCCGCCCCGCCGGTACGGGGGCGGCGGCTACGGGCGCCGGAGCCGCAGGTGAGCGGGCCGGGGGAGGGCGGCGGGCGGGGTCACAA